ACAACTCTGTGGTACTTCTCCTCGCGTATCTGGTGACTGGTAGCCGCTCAGCTGGAGACTCTTTGCCACTGGATGCTAGAGGCTGTTGAGGAACAACTCTGTGGTACTTCTCCTCGCGTATCTGGTGATTGGTAGCCGCTCAGCTGGAGACTATTTTCCACTGGATGCTAGAGGCTGTTGAGGAACAACTCTGTGGTACTTCTCCTCGCGTATCTGGTGATTGGTAGCCGCTCAGCTGGAGACTATTTTCCACTGGATGCTAGAGGCTGTTGAGGAACAACTCTGTGGTACTTCTCCTCGCGTATCTGGTGATTGGTAGCCCCTCAGCTGGAGACTATTTGCCACTGGATGCTAGAGGCTGTTGAGGAACAACTCTGTGGTACTTCTCCTCGCGTATCTGGTGGCTGGTAGCCGGAGACTGTCACTGGATGCTATGGGCTACGGGCTACATTCTGTGCCTACACTATACATCCTTTTGTGTTCAAGACATTTAGAGAGGGGTGTTCTACTGAGTGGCACGAGTTCACAGCCTGGCTATATGATGAACTAAGCATACAGGATGTGTAGTGGCCACACTATACATCCACTTGTGTTCAAGACATTTAGAAATGGGTGTACTTCTTATTGAGTACAGTTCAATGTCTGGCTTTGTGAAAAACTAAACGTACAGAATGTGTAGTAACCACACTATACAGCCTGTTGTGTTCAAGACATTTAGAGAGGAATTTTCTAATAAGTAACAACAGTTCACGTCGACAGCCCGGCTATGTGAAGAGCTAAGTATACAGAATGTGTAATGTCTATACTATAGTATCTGGTGAATTGGTGCTCTAAATTTAAGTGGATGAGATCTGGATGGTTTTAGAGTATATAATGTTGATTTAAAGCGCTAAACATAGAGGGTTGTGATCTAAGTTGCCAAATTTACAGGTAGGCTAGGTGAGGGCAGCGACCAAGGTGGCAACCTTGGACCTAGGCCACGCCGAGGCCGTTCACTGCGCACCAATCACTGGGCTATCACGATTTTTGTGAGACATGAACATCACATAACTAATTAGTCTCCTAGTTTCTAGGTATATTGGCGCTAGGCAGTTTTATAAATTATGTGATATAAGATCATATAATAGTCACTGTCGCCCTGCTGTAGGCTATGTATACTATTAACACGTTGAGTATAGCGTGACACTCAACGCTGTGTAGTTACCACAGAACTCACGACAGACTTTGGGTAAGGTAATTTATGCAATGTAGGGTCAATGCACTCATTGACCTCACTGTCATGGAATGTAGGAATGATTAGTATTGATTTCTTAATTAATGTAACCATATATTTATATTTTGCTTACTTAATTAAACGTTGAGCCTATTTTATTTTGCTGTAACATTTATTTGTTGTAATCGATTCGCAATCAATTAGTTTACTTGGCACGTTTGTTGCAATGCAGGAGTTTTTAATCACTTGGAACTGTGATTTAAAATTGACGCATGACTTAATTCTTTTAAGTATTCTGTTATCAATCACGTATCTAACATTTATTTATTATTATTATATTTTATCACTCCCTTTGAAGCTCGAAAAAGCATGATAATAGGTCCGAATTAGTCGGTTTTTCGTTGCTGAAACCCCAAATTTAATTTTCCAATGTTGTTTAAATCCTGGACCCTGGCTTAAAATAACAATATAATTACCATACCAATTACACATATAATTGTTTAGACATCAAAACCAAAAGTAAGTAATGTCAATCTTAACAACCGGACAGTAGAGGTCACAGAAGGTTAACGCCCAACAACCCTAAATAAAAAGCCCTACTATACTATTTTAGGATGCTGAAAAAAATGCTTCATATGTGTACAACCATATTCGCAACCATATTCGCAACCATAGGTTTTAAGCCTAGAAGTAGTTAATTGATGCAGCCATATTCTTGCCCATTGCCCAAACACTACTCTGGAACAGCATCTGTCTCCTATAGTTTAATGTTTACATCACCAATTACTAATTTTACTCACACACCGTCCAGGATGTGTATAAGAGTGTTAAACATGCAGACAATTTTGCTTATGTGACCAAAAATAAAGATACGTCTATCACAGATACAACACTGTCTACTCTACAGATATTGCTGTATTAGAAACATATTTTAATAATTAGATAACCCCAATCCCAATCATAGAAAGAGAGACGAAGCCTGCGTCCATCTAAGTAGTAGATGGAATTAGATTAAAATTAGTTTAATCAGATTTGAATATTAATGCTATTCTCGAGATCGTAACACTACTGTGCTCGTGAAACTGTGCGGAAAAGAGTCAATCTTATTAAAAATGGTAATGGATATTTCCACCAGTCATGCTATTGTAAAGGCTTGGGCACCAATTTCATTTATCATTTAACGCTGCTATTGAATTTCCTTCGAGCTTGATTTATTTTGGAATTGTCATACAAGCAAAGATGCAGTTTTAATATACGTTACTGTACTTGTTAGCTTTCTCCTGATATGATTAAAATGCATGATGTATGAGAAGTACGATTAAGGTAACTAAATTTAACTAATCTAATGTATTCAGATTTATTCAAAAAGTAGCATGTACTTTACAATGAACTACGATACTTTACAAACAAATTATCTATTTTAACAAAATAAGTTGACCGTATTATTTGTATTAATGTTTCAACGCGTTGTGACGGTTATGGAAATGAAAATACAGTAACTGGTATTTATTATTATTAGCTCATTGAATTTCATTTGTTAACTGGGTGTAGTAGTGGACTTGAGATATTGCTGTTGTTAGAGTTGTTGAAGATTTATTGAAATCCATATTAAAATCCCAAAGTACCCATGTACTAAAAGTCACACCCCCATTAATCCATATACTTAAAATGTTCGTCATGACGAGAAATCTTTCATAAATTGCCGTTTAAGGCCGTAATTCCTTTCCAAAGGGAACTTTCCATAAACCTAATGTTTAAAATACCTCAGCTGTACTTATTTGTTTGCTATTATTTCGATTTAATACCTTATTAAAATCAGGTGTGATTATTTGTTTGTATTACGGTACTGGTATTCTGTTTTGTTTATTTAAGCTTAACTTAACCAATCAATAGTTTTATTATTATTTTATATTAATACTTTGAAGTCAAACGGAGTGAAGCCTGTGGGTAACAGCTAGTATGCTATAATTTGCATACACAATAATGTAGTTTAAACAAGTGATTTTAGCTTGAGTAAAATATTTCGGGTTATAGTACTCAATGAAATGAAAAAGCATTGACTGTGTTCATTGATCTTGCAAAGACATTTGATTCGATTAACAGAAATATACTTTGTTTTAAGGACTCCATTGGAATTAGTAGTATGGCTCTAAAATGGTTCAGTAGTTATTTTGATAAAAGTAAAGTAGCCAATTAGTTCCTATTGACAACAATTTCCTCGATGTACGTGAAATAGACTACGGAATTATCCAGGGCAGTAGGCTTAGACCATGCTTTTTTTATTTATATAAAATAATTTAGCTACACTTCCAAACACAGGAAAGCTCTTATCATTTGCCGAAGATACTACAGTTTTAAAGGTAATACTTGGGACGAAAGTTCAATGGAGCGCAAACTGATAGATATGTTCCCTATTCAAAAATGAGTCCCCTCTGGCCCTAATCCGCATATAGAAGTTTGGTTAGGTTAGGTTGGATTAGTTAAATATGGCCCCTGAATTTACGACCAGTGGCCGGGACCCCTACACTCCATTATAAGAGCCTGGGAGTGAAGAGTGATATTGGATAGGAATTAAATATGGGAACCCCATATTGAATTTTTAAAGACAAAACATAAGAAATTAGTTTATGTTAATAAAAATATATGCGGAATTATAAGATAAAAATCGTATACTATGCATTTGTCCAATATGAGATTATAGTACTGTACTGTATATGGAGGAGCTAGTAGTATTTAAAAGTCATTATTTGCCATACAACAATTTATTAATAAAAATCTTTTCAATTTGACAGCCGTTTCCCTACAATTTCATTATTTAAAAATCACTCAACAATTAGAAACATTTATACCGGCCGGTATATAAAACAATAGATTCCACAATCAACGGGACATGGGAATGTCGCAATGACGGTTATGTCGGTGTTGGTGTTGGTGTTTACATGGGAGGTTTAGTTGGCAACGCGCTTCAACTGCTGCACAAATAGCACGGCCTTGTCATGCACGATATTTGGAACTGAATTCATCCCAAGTGCGTCACAGCGAAAGTACTTTTTGTTTTAATGTCCCGCGAAATTAACAATTAAACAAAACTAAATTTTCACTAGTAATAATAATAGAGTGTTTAGAATGTTTTCTGATCGTAATTTCCGATTAATTAAGTTGGATATCTCTGGGGTTTTTGTTTTTGTTCTTAAGTATAACAAAAGAATAATGTAACATCATTGGTTTATCCCTTTAAAACCTGGATAAACCAATGATGCTTTGTACAAGATCGCGCCTCTCATCCTAACAATCATCTTCATCCATACTTGCCCTACCTTTGTATGGTCACCATTTCAACTAAAAGTACTTCAGTATCTCAAACTATGGGTAAAATAACATTTATTTGTAGCAAAATCACTGTACTGCTTTATTCTATGTGCGGGGAAAATATCACCGCGCAAAATATATGTGCGCACTAGTCACAACAAGAGCCAACATTATTATTGTTCTTACATGAATAAAAACGTATAATTTTTTAGTTGAGGTGAAACACAAAAAATCGGATGTATGATCGGTTTGTTAAAACTAATTATGTAAAGATCTTGAAACGTGTGCCATCCTGTAGAGGAATTGCGACAACTATTTACTAAAAAAAACATAGAGTTGTTGTACAAATCAAGCTCGTACTTCAGCACAGGAAGTAATTTAGGACACCTGTGCACATTTACAATTAATGGCAGTAGGTTTTGTTTCTATGAGACATTTAGTGCATAACAATTAACAGAGAGCAGTAAAGATCGCTTACCAAGCTCCATGGGATAGAGCCACGTGTTGACGTCCAATATCAGGTCCATCTTGAAGGACTCGCTCTCGCAATGCAGTCTGCTCACTGCAACAAACCTCAATGTTAGTGGTTGAACATTACGTGTATGTATTTATAACAGTTCGGAGGCTGTATGCATAAAGAGAGCGGTTCATTGTAAGTAATTGGATTTGTAAGAAAGGAAATCTAAGACACCAGCAAGACTTGTGAAAGATTTTGGCTTTGGAGGCCTGCGAGTATTAATGGTATTACGTTTTTAACTGCGAGTGTTACGTAATCACGAGTAACTGTGATTAGATAAATCGCAGTTAGTTGTTTATTCCTAGGAGGATAGGTTAACTCCCAGTTTTCAATGTAAGAAGAGTATTGAAAATGCCTCTGATGGTCAGTGGTCTCTAGATTTCGTGTATCTATCTACCTACACCAAGTAACCATTGTTGACTAGTAACACTGCAGAAGGAGAGGTTATGGGGGGGGGGGGTAGCAGCGTTGCTGATGCTCGGTGCCGGCGTGGCGCGGCGTGGCGGTGTGCTAGTGTGCTGCTCAGCTGCTCAGCGCTCAGCTGATAGCTCAGCCACTGTAGTGTTGAGGGTTGACCTGCGCGGCCACCGCCCTACCCTTACCCTACCTCCCACACCTCACTTCACTTTTACCCGGCTCGATCGCCAACACTACGACAATCATTCTGGTTGCTTGCTGTTTTCCAACTTTAAATATCTTATGGTTGGACTTTTCTACCTGACACACGCGAAATGCCTTATGACACGTTTAACTCTCCATTCATTAGAAGTGCGTTTGCTGTCGTTAGTCTCTTTTACTGTTACCAAGATGAACGACACCGATGTAATGCTTTATTACTATTTTACTCACGCTCTAATTGAAAAAATAACTACAAGATTAAACTTTTACAATCGCGATAGTTGTACCGTGTAATTAGGCACAATACATGACGTTTAAGTAAAAATCCTGTATTCTTAATGACACAATCGTATACGTAACACGTAAATGTTCTACATCTACAACAACGGCGATTTAATCTCCGTCGCATCTATTATTCCCTACCTGGTCAAGTTTTCCTGTCACCCTACAGGGTTCCTCTATATTGACCACCAGGGAAAGTGACGACGGACATCTTTGTGTTTAAAAATTTCAAATAATAATAAGTTCATACAATAAAAATAAGCGAAACTTGGGGGTAGTCTTTCCACCTGCAAACTCAACCATCCCATCTAGCTCATTGACAAACATAAATGAATTATTGGCTACTCATAGCTATTTCAAAGAATACCTGGAACTATAAAATGCTGCTATAGAGGTCATATTAATTAAAAACATACAAGGGTTATAACGTACGAATACAGTATACTAACTGATGCAAACTAAATCATGAATATCCTTACTTAATCGTATAGAATGAACAATCGCTATTCAAGAGTGAGTTTTCGCAAAATTACCATAAAATAGATACATTATGCAGCTAGCTGCTGGAGGGATGAAGACGCATATTGGGAGAAATAATAGTTTCCCGAAGGATAATCTTTACAAAAAAATTGCAATTACATTATGGGTGAATAGCTACAGTAAAGATTACGATGGAAGGCATATGTCTTCAAATAATGGTGTCTAGTATAGCTTTTCGTAGAGAAAGATCTCAACGAGACACTTACTCATCGAACATCTTTTTTACTAGATAGATATACAAACCGTTTAAGATTGGTACCGACCGACGGTTATAGCACAGTTAAAGGCAAATGATTTGCTCGGTTCAAAATTCAAATCTGTTTCCCTCCCACAGAAGTCTTGCGATCTAGCAACCAGCAACAATAATCAGCAACAAGCTTGTTCGATGAACATTTAGGATTGCAACAAGTGTCGAGGTACAACACGGTGAGGTAGGCCCTGTCCCTAATTGATACAAATGGGACACAACATTCTCCGATAAAGTAATTTTAAGGCGAGGCTGTGTATAGAATATAGGAAACAAGATGATATTATTGTGCATAGGAAGCACAGCATGAGTCACGGTTGCATAATCTAGTGTTATGCATGGTGCAGCATTGCACAACATGAGGCTCAGCTAGGCTTCATGGCTGCTGATAACGCTCTTTAGTCATGAGACTGTTTGCAGTTTATTTCTAATGAAAATATGAACTAATCTAATGAAAATATTGCATTAGTAAATATAACCTTTTCCACCATTCCTCTGGGTTAAGCAATAATTAATTCTTTGTCAATCGTCCTGTAACTTGACTCGCCAAGCTACGTTGACAAATTACGCTTGCAATGTATACCATTAGAACTTTTACTCTCGTAAACCAAATAGCATAGCATTGACCACAATCAAAATATAATACAACTTACTTTGACAGAAAATAACGTAAATACATATTTTTTTCTTCCTTAACTATATAATTATTTAAAAAAAATGTGGAAATCGAAGAACGATATTTTCTTTCAGATGAAACGATCATAATCTAATTCATAATGTGATGGGAAGTTGGTCACAATTCTTACCTCAAAGTCTGGCAAAAAAGATATCTCGACAGATTTAGGAGAGATAGTATTGGTAATTTCAAAAATAGATCAATCTCATTAGTTTAAAAAATGTATAAAAAATCGCAATATTATAAAATATTGTATTCAGAATAAGAAAAATCTAATTCGTACAAGTCAGCCATTTTATGATCCAGCGCACCTGCGAATGACGACGAAAAGGCAATTTTTAAAGGGCTTCGACCCTCTTGCGTTTAAATTATTTATTAAGTTCACTTTCAAAGATCCAGTTTTACTGACCAACTTTCTCTATAACGGTTTAAATATGGATTTTAACGTAAATGCTGATCCTTTAGTTGAATGTTAAACCACAATTAGATTCAAATTGTAAACCAAAACCAGACGAAACTTAATGGATTTTAAATAGGTTACTTTTTTATAATTGCAAACTGATTGAGTTAGGTATATACCTCTTCAGTCGTCATGTCGTATCTATAGGTAGATCTTTGAAAATTGAGAGGGTATTTTATTATTATTTTTACCTTGGAATCAACTTTTGAACCCCATTAAAATGTGCCATTTGCGCATGGGTGTCCTCGTTTCTCCATATACCAATGAATTCTTAACTTGGTTTTTGGTGTTGATGATATGGAATAGTTATTTTTACTTAATATTTTTGTTCAAAGCTTCCATGCTTACTCGAAGTCTTTCTGTGGCAACTTGGCGTTCTTTGGGCCGTTCCCTCACAAACCACAAACATAGGTTTAAACAAACCAAAAATAATAAAACATGGGTAAATTAAATCAATAGTTTTGGAAATTAATATGCATTTCATAAGAGTTGACTGGCCATTACGTTATCGCAGTTGTTGCAAACCAGGATATACGACGTAAAGAGATGAAAACTTAGTCTATAATTCGACATAGCCTGTATTGGACAACAAATAACTATGTCCCAACAATGACACTCACAAAATACCAAGTAAATCCTTAAATTTAGGGAATACATTAAAAAACCTTAACGGCGATACGGGGTAGATATTTCGATTACACCATCAAAACTTTGATTCGAGAGTTTATTTCATTCCTCGGCTCAATAAGTCCCGAACCTATAGATCCAGAGCTCGGAAACCGGCCCTTAGATGTAGAAGGAAACTTTAAATGCTGACATTTAATATCTTTTATCCCATGTATATTATATTATATAGTCAAATTGTTTCATTTTTACAATATCACTCCCTTCTCTTCTCAGCCCCACGCGATTTTGGCGGATACTGATGAGATTAGGGTGATTACAACTTTCATTTCATTCAGCTGACTTTATATTATTTTTTACTATTCCATCTAATTTTTCTGTGATACACCAAACCTACTGAAAAAGTCACACAAATACAGCATAAAGTATCATACAGCAGCGTCTAATTTCTCATCGTAATTTGCAAACACGTAAACATATAGCTACGAAATGAAATGAGATTAATACAGAGGTTTTATCCCTCACATTCGTTATAGTTACGGAACACAATTATTCATCACAAATAAAAGCGAGAAAATAATGTAGCCAGTCCCGAGGCGCCAAGCGATGACGGCGGTTCACAAGATGACCTAGTTGTTTATTGATCTGGGCGTTTAGCGCAACCCCTAGCTGTTCACTGTAATATCAAATTGCAATGGTTTTTACAAATTAAAAGAATGATTATGGCAACATCATGCTGAATCATTAGGGAAGTGAATACTGAATTAGTTATTTGTGTAACTAGTGTGCGAATGTGGCACTTTGCTGCACATGAGAGAAATGTTTATGCACGAGCCGCAGGCAAGTGGAAAGTTTCTCGAGTGCAGCAAACGGCAGTTTGCACTGGCGTTATACATTATATTTATCCTAAAAGTTACTATAAAGCATAGAAATAATTAGTCTTTCAAACACTATACAACACGTTTTTAGGTAAGGTTAAATCCAAGCGTTGAACGAAATGGGGAAAGCTGCACCAGCTGATAGTAGTCGTAGTATCTCCACAATTTTCTCAAGCGTACACGTATTACGTGCCAAATAAAAGCAACACAGAAAAATGCTCTTGCTATGCCTCGCTGCGATAAAAAATAACACGATTTAGTGTTTTTAAAGTTTATATTAAATTGTCTAATGAAAATGGTTAAATTGTTTTCTTAATGAGGCCATACTTTGTGTCGTTTTAATTTTAAAGATAGTATTATTTTAAAATGAGAATCATTACAAAACACATTTATTAAATTAATAAGTGGCCTTTAACTAAGATAATACTGAAAGATTCCTGGAAAAATCGTTTTGGATTCCAAACTAAGTAATTTTTCAAAACAATATAAACTTGTGTTCGACAGTAAAATAGTCCTGAAAACATATTAATAGATAGAAATTTTTACTGGATATCACTAGTAGAACCAAGTTGATAAGAATTTTACGTTTTTGAAATATCGATATCGCATAATACATCGCAGTGAATAGCGTGTGGGCAAGTTATTGTAAAAAGTTACTAGGTGGAAAACTCACTCACAATCAGGTTATCTAGATGATTATTGGAATTAGTTGCAAGCTTT